TATATATTTATTACATTTCAATCAGTTTTGACTGTTACAAGTCAGCTTTATGTACATACTCTGTAGTTCAAAAGTTTGGGATCAGTAAGATTTGTTTTAAGATTTGATTAAAAGTAATGTTGTAAAATCTTACAATTTAAAATACACTCTCAAAAAGGATGTTGATTAACACATTTTTTGTGTTATGACTATTTGAAGACATTTTGTGTCATTTTGTGTTAATGTGTGTTAAAAACAAAAAAGAGCCGTCAATCTTCTCAAGTGCAAGTTTCCTCGCACTTTAACTTCTCATCATCGGTGGATATCTTCGGTGTGTGGAAGTAAGAAGAATGTTCATATTTGGCATTAGCAGCTTTTAAAATGTCTTTTGTGATCATTTGTAGACTGTCGAGGGGCATTTTACACATATGCGGTAGCCAGAAAACTGCCTCAGGAATGGCGGTGTGAGGAAATTCATTCACCATTCACCGCATCTCTCTCTTATTGAAAATGAACAGAGCTCACGGTGCCACATATTGTGTAAAATGCCCTAAGACGTTAAAATGATCTCTGACGCTTACGTTTTTCTTGGCTTTCCAGCTAACATTATATTTGTTATGTGTAGCCTATAAATAACAAATGTGTCTTTATTTGCGCTCTTGCAGCTTTGAATGGAAGACGCCTCTGACGCGCTTGTGACAGTTATTGGCATATAATTGGAGGCTTCTTCATCTTCACCATCACCTGTATGCTGATGAAAATACGCGAATAAAAATGATTAATGTTTAAGATGCTGTCAAATGCCACATTTTTTAAAATTCAAAAGGACAAACTTGATTAACCATTAACTCTTAAACGAACACTCCACTATTTTTGAAAATAGGCTAATTTTCCAACTCCCCTAGAGTTAAACAGTTCAGTTTTACCGTTTTCGAATCCATTCAGCAGATCTCCGGGTCTGGCGGTAGCACTTTTAGCTGCAGCTTAGCATAGATCATTGAATCTGATTAGACCATTAGCATCTCGCTCAAAAATGACCAAAGAGTTTAGATATTTTTCCTATTTAAAACTTGACTCTTCTGTAGTTACATCGTGTACTACATGAAAAGTTGCGATTTTCTAGGCCGATATGGCTAGGAACTTTGCTGCCGTACCATGGGTGCAGCAGGCGCAATGATATTACGCAGCGCCTGAAAATAGGCTAACTTCCACCAAAATAACCACTGTGACCACCTGCTTGCACAGGGAGCGTGCCTTCTGTTGGAAGTTACCTAGCTGGGGACTATTTTCAGGCGCAGCGTAATTCGTTTCTCTGTGCCTTTATCGTTATAGTTGTAGTGTGAACTCTGCTATTCTTTAATATTGAGAACGATTTATAGAACTATATCTTTATCATTATCTTTATAGTTGTCGTGCTTGGTGTGAATGGGCCTTAAGAGTGTAACTGTTTTAAAGTTTCATATATTCTAAATATAATAATATAAATATTTAATACATTCTATTCTTGTGAAGACAAAGCCGAATTTCCAGTAGTCATTATTCCAGTCTTCAGTGTCACATGATCCTTCCGAAATCAATGTCATATGCTGATTTGATGTTCAAAAAACATTTACTATTATTATCAATGTAAAAAACTGTTGTGCTGGTTAATATCTTTGTGGAAACATTTTTTTTTCAGCATTCTTTGATGAATACAAAGTTCAAAAGAACAGCTTTTATTTAAAATAGAAAGCTGTTACATTACAAGTATCTTTATAGTCTCTTTCATTTCAATCATTTTAATGCATCCTTGCTAAATAGAAGTATTAATTAGACTAAACAAAGACCATGATCCACCATGTCGGTTTGTGGACAGGTTATGTAGTGGCTCCAGCACGGTTTCTGTGAAAAAGTGGTCTCCGTCACCTCAGGACAGGCTGCATTCACATATTTTCAAAATGCATTGTGCATCAGCTGAAACGCCCCCGACACTTACGTCAAATAGCTGCAGAGCAAATATGGGTCAACCAACCCACCTTTTCCCCTCTCAGATGACATATTATCATTATTAAAAATCTTCAGTATTTACTACCATAACCCAGGATGCCTAACCATGCTTGTGTGTATGCTGAGCAAACACATAAAACAAAACCGGTTTTCATAATGAGGTATCCGTCTCACAAAGGTCCGCTCACAGTCAAAAGGCTGCCGAATCGAAGAAATAAAAAAGGCCTGTGACTGGCTCTCGAGCGGGGCGGGTTCATTCAGATGCTGATGAGAAGCGTGACCTTGCTACGTGGAGCTTCGTCAAACAGCTTTGCGGGCTCTCTGTAAACAGCCGGTCTATTTCTGGCTGCTTGAATGAAGCTGAGGTATGGTGCAGCACAAGCGCTCTATATTGCAACTAGAATGGGCACAAGGCCAGCCGTGCCACGGCTGTTTTAAGTACTCTAACAGTCCAACATACCGATTTGAATTATGACATGCTGTCAATGTTAGCTCGATTATTAGATGTATCAAAAAGGCCACATTTGATTATGGCTGCATCAGTCATAAAAATGATCCTGACCCCCTTTTTTCCCAAATTAGCTCAGATGCGAAGTAAGGAAGGCTAATTAAAGGATAGATGTGATTATGGGCTATTGAGGAGAGAGAGGAACGAGAAAGCCCTGGACCGCTGTATTGTCTGTGCTAGAGCACTCTGAATAATGAGCTCATTACATAGACAGCACTGCGCTGCCAAGCAGCCGTCAGATGATGCATTCAACAGCTGCTATATTATAGATTCATATTTTAATCACAATAGTCAACTGTTCCATGGAAAAATCAACATGACTAGATTTTTACATTTTCTGAAGACGACGTGAGTGGTAAAACCCGTCATCAGGATGTCAGGGTGTTACAGATGGTTGCCAGAGTGTTGCAGTGCAGTTGTTAAGGTACACTACCATTCAAAAGGTGCGTCCAAAATCGCGTACTTACACACTAGTCTATGACATTCTGTAGTATAAATAGTGCGAGTAGTGCGTTCACACTGAAAATTACAAAAAGAAAAAGTGCACTTTAAATACCCGGATGATGCACTTAAATAACCGAAAAAACGAAGTGTGGAATGTTGGACACTTCATGTACTCAACTTTCGCAGCTTTAATTACGTAGTGAAGGGGGAGGGGCTATCAGACTATTATGAATGACAAAAATAACATTATATAATTCATACACTACATGGTTGAGTACATAGTGCATAAGTACATAGTGTATAAGTGCATAGTGTATAGTGTGTCATTTGGGATGCAGCTAAAGATTAGGGTCAGTAAGATTTATTTTTTTGAAAGAAAATGAATAGTTTTATTTGGCAAGAAAGCATTCAAGTGATCAATGTAAAGTAAATGCTGTTGTTTTGAACATTCTATTCATCAAAGAATCCAGAAAAAAATGTATCACGGTTTCCACAAAAAAATATTAAGCAGCCCAATGGTTTTCAACATTGATAATAATAAGAAATGTTTCTTGAGCAGCAAATCAGCATATTGGAATGATTTCTGAAGGATCATGTGACCCTGAAGACTGGAGTAATGATGCTGAAAATACAGCTTTGCCATCATAGGAATAAATTACGTTTTAAAAATATATTAAACTAGAAAATTTATTTTAAATTGTAATAATACTTCACAATATTACAGTTTTTATTGTATTTTTGAACAAAAAAAGTGCAGCCTTGATAAGCATTAGACACTTTTTTCAAAAACATAAAAAAACCCAAAACCTTCATAAATTATTCATAGTGGTTTTAAGACGTTATGCATTCGCTATGGTTATGACAGGTGAAAACCGTAAGTATAATAACAAAATATTAGCATGATTGAAATATCACTCATGTTCTTAGCACAGCTAATGGGGGGATGAGAAGGGCTGCATATACACATTTCTCTATTTGATTCAATTTACACACTTTTGATTTGGATTCAGATTTTGATTCTGATGTCAATTTTGGTTATCATCCGTCGAACCATATAGCGAATCCCAACCCCAAGTATGAGCAATAGTAATCGTAATTTTGCCCTAGCAAATACCACTAATTATGTGGTTCCAGAATAAAAAGTGTGTACACACACAAATCAAGTAGTAGAACAGAAAAACCTCAAACATCTCTGTTCTGCACTGTTGCTCTCAAAGAATATATAATTACAGAAAAAAAAATCCCACAGAGGTTAGCAGCAGTTGCTATTAAAATAGGTCAAACAGCTCTCTTCTAAGGCTGAGGCACTTTCAAATCATCTCTTGCCCCCTACTCTCAGGAAATCGTGTGCTCAGAGGAGTACAGACAAGCCTATTTGAGCTACAAAAGGAGATAAGAGGCCTCCATTCAGGCTGGCTTTCAGCCATGAGAACTGAAGCATCAGCACTGACACGCACACTCAAACAGCGCCCCCATACCCACAGTACACGGCCACACAACAATAGTCATTGTCAGACCTTCCTCTACACTGAGCTCAGGCACAATAGAGCTAGTCTGTGCTTGGAGGAAGTGATGGAGTGATTGAATGACGCACCTGGAAAAGCCTGGTGAAGATGTCGAACTCAAAGACGGAGATGTAGTCATTGCAGGTGAGGTCGATGGTGGATTTGAGAGCCATGGCCTCCAGGCCCGAGCTGATGGGGTGAAACTCATGCAGGGCCTGCCGGAACACCTTCCAAGGCACGATGGTCCTGAAATTCAAGTTAAGTTATCAGAATCAGACTGATTTCCTTAAGCTTGTCAAAGTCCAACCTCTTTTGCTTTTCTATGAACACGTGGCAAGTTTTTCCATGAGAACAAAGAATACATTAAGCGTCTCACTTGTCCCCGAACGATCTTCTCCAAAACTCTGCGGCATCCGCTTTGGTGATTCTGAAGTTATCCCCTTGAAATAGGCCGTTGGGAAAGATGGCTTTGAGCTCGGCGAGCATGTGACTGAATATCAGCGACAATTTCGTCAGGTTCCGTCTGAAATACAGGAAAGAGAAGAGTTTTTTTTAATTTAATTAGATATTTAAAGCTGCAGTCCGTAAGTTTTGCCTCTTTGTCGCCATCTCTGTTTGAAAACCTGCAATTGCAGCTGACTATGAGAATAGTGTGTATAAGATAGTGGATTTCAATTTCTGTACAGTCTAATCTCTAATTGTCATACGACTCGAATTTCATATTAAGAAATTCTTTTAACCCAAAAAGCAAATTATGCTCCCTTTGAACTGGTTGTCTTTAAAATACAAATCTTGTGTAATCCCAGGCTATCTGTAATCAGAAGCACATTTAAAACTGTAATATAGTTTAATTTCATTCACATGGGTTTCATAAACACATAATCCTTTCTGGATTACAATCCGCCATCAAAATGATACATTTAATTATTCCAGCTACTGTGAGAAAAGGCTATAAATGATCCGCCACCAGCAAGATCCTCACATGCGATAGCCTAGTAGCCGGTGTTCTGTCGATTTGTGCTACCCTGTCAGATTTTGCTACCTCCCATTAAAACAGTGGATAGTACAATTCGACAACGAAAAATGCTACCTGTAAAATTATGGTTTATTAACGTCTACACCTACCACAACCCTAAACCTATTCTTACAGTAATGCAAATACAGTAATTATGTGTTATAGTCGCGGTTGTAGCTAGAAGGGATACAGCTACAGGAAACCAACAATAAATAAAAAATGTTTCTACCCATTAGATTGTGTTTTATTAAAGTCTACACCTACCCCAACCCTAAACCTACCCTTACAGTTATGCAGATACATTAAATATTGTTGTTCAGCATGAGTAAAGGGACGCAATATTGATGTGCGCATGCGCAGTAAACCCTGGTAGGACAATCTGACGGATAGGATAAAATGTCAGGACACCTGGACAACTTATTTATGTTTACAGACGTGACGTAATGGCGCAGCAGCATGCTCGAATTTCCCGCGAAAACATACCCGTACCACTCAAATTAGAAAACATTATTATAAGCTGACTGTTGTGAATCGGGCTAAAGTAAGTTTCGAATGCTGGCTGGTTATGTACTTGCTCAAATATTGATTTCGGATCATTTTTAACCAAAAAAAGTTACGGACTGCAGCTTTAAAGACCAAGTAAAGAAAATGAATGTGATGTTCTTCATGTGACTGACTGATTGCACAGACACTTGGAAGAGAGCTGAACTGGATGATGACGACATCACTGAATCATCAATGAACTGACTTTAGCTGGAAAAATATCTCTTTATTATTGTCATCTTGCATTATTGACAAACTATTTTCCTGCTTCGACACAATCAGTATTGTATAAAGCGCTAAACAAATAAAGGTAAAAAAAAATTTCTTCAGTATTTTTGTTTTTTATTTTTGTCGTTTTCCAGTGCAAATAACTAAAGATTCTTAAATCAAGACATTTACTTGAAGCAAAATGACAAAATAATAAGTCTTGTTTTATGAGAAACTGGTCCAAATAAACTGAGTTTGTGATTTAAAAAAGTACAAATATCTGCCAATGCCACATTTAAAGCAATGACTTTATGGATGTAAGACCTTCTGCTTCAATTTAAGACCTTTTTCTGCCTTTTTTTGTGGAAGGTCAAATTAAGTCTTAAGACCATTTTAAGTCCTCCTGAAAACCTGTAATAATAATTAAGCGGCCATGTTATTAGATCAAACTTGTTAAATCTTAGCATGAAATTTCAGGAGTCTCATATTATTGCTCTTGATAAGTTATTTTGTCCCCAAAATCAGCACAGAAATGTGAAAACATCAGCAGATTCTGGAGTCAGGCATGGTGGTGATTGGGTATTTCTGTGGCCGGCGGGTGCTAGGCCCGTATCAGCAAGGACTGAATGCCTGCTGCATTTTTCTGATTCCACCGACTCTGGGCACATGAGCAAGGCAGGCAGACGAGAGCAGTGAGGGTCGTGCTGCACAGCAGGGGGAGGAAGTGGAAAGAAAGCCATGATTTACAGGGCAGCACAGTGAGGGATTGTACAAGCGGGGAAATTGACATGCACAAGAGAGAGTCTGAGTGTTTTTGGAGGCCACAGCTGCCTCCAAAAATGGAATCCTTACTTAGACTACAAGAAGAAGAAAAAAGTGAGAAAAGGAATGTTACAAAAAAATAGCAAGAGTGGAGTATAAACTACAAGAAATGAAAGCAACCAAAAGAGAAAAATAGCTTACGCAAAAAAAAAGTTTCTGCTTCTCTCACATAAGCAATAGCTCTTCTTCATGAAGGGCTCTTTGGATTAGCTCTGAAAAGTCTATTCTATGACTACCGTGCAGCATTTAATCGGCTTTCTCTGGTCATGATGTGCCCCAAACAAAATGCACTGATAATAAAATTCACACTGAATTTTTTTTTAAATTAAATTAAAATTAAATTATAGATTTAGAAAGCTTTACTTCCAAAAAGGTATAATACATTATATATAATATAATAAATTATTACTATTAAAATAATAATAATAAAACAAATAAATTAATTTAATATTCAAATATGTCTGCATTTCATCAAATTATGTCAAATGAGTAGGATGCCTGAATATCCGGATAACACATTGTACAATCAATGAACACTTTCCTATATAAAAAAATAAATTAAAAAAAACTAGACAGGGTAGATGCCATATTTAATTTGATGTACTGCAACACCTCAAATTCCCACTGTCTTCATAGCCAGCGTTTACATACTTCTTTATCTATGGCTCTGGGAACAGTTGTTGTTTGTGGCAAAAGGGTGCCAATGTGTCTTCTGGGGAAGCCAGCTGTGCCATGTTTCCTCTCACCAAGAGGACACATAAGAGGAGTTTAACAATGACATTTGTGTGGCGTTTGGGTGAGGCTGCAGGTTTTGGTGTAATACAGATTGGCACTTTCAAACAAAATGTTTGCGAGCATGTGCATGTTTGAAAGAGTGACACACAAGTGAAAAAACTGAAGCATGAAGGAGACAAAGGTCACACTCGACTCTTTATATTTATGTAGATTTAAACCATGAGGGAAGAAGAGAGGCT